AGACCTAGACAATGAATAAGGATGACAGAAAAAGAATTGATGCCTTTGAGCTGTAGTGTTGGAAAAGAGCACTGAACTTTCCATGGATGATCAAGAAAATGAACAGATATGTCTTGGAAAGGGTACAGCCAGAGTGCTCTTCGGGGGCAAGAATGATGAGGCTTTGCCTCACATTTTGGACATATTGCTAGGAGGTGCTATTCCTTGGAGAGGGACATGATGTTGGGAAGGGTGGAGGATTGGCAAAGGAGAGTAAGAACCTCAACCAGGTGGATTGACACGGTGACTGCTGCAATGGGCTCTTGTATATCAGGAAGTGTGAGGATGGCACAGGATAGGACTAGGTTCAGATCTTTTGTTCATAGGGTTATTATAAGTTGCGCTTGACTCGATCACACCTAACAATTAGAATATTAGATGTTTGAGTGAGGAATTTAAGGAATTTGCTGTTATCACCATTTACAAATAGATTGTTGTTATGTACTGTCAAGTTGGAACTGACTCATAGCCTTCAATGGGTTTTCAGAGGCAGTAAATGGCATAAGAAATGATTGTTCTCTTGTGGAGCAACTAGTGGGTTAGAACTGTGTGCCCTTAGTTAGAACTGTGTGGGCTGGCAGTGCAACTCTTTACCACGAAGCTGCCAGAGCTAATGTACAAATAATATACAAAGTAAAATACATGTGTGTTTAGAAAGCGCTATGTTCAATGGCATTGCTTGACAAACTGTTTAATGACTGAAGAAATGGCCCTCAGTGAAATACATTATACACAGACTGAGGACAGTCCTACAGAAAAGAGTCAGGATATAGGGATTTAAGGGGCTTGCCTTGTTCTAGTACTAGGAACTGTCTATCATTTTGATGTTTCAGGCAATTTCCACCCTTATTTACTTGGTCTCCTCTGTTTAGTGTGGGTCTCATCTCTAGAAACTTTAAAAAGAAAAAAAAATATGTATACTGAATTGAAACAGATGAGGGAGAGAACAGTTTAAAAGTGATATATGAGAGGGTATTATGATTATTACAGGAATCCAGAATTAAGGTTGCATAGTGGAGTGCATTCGGGGCAGGGGTGGGGTGGGGGGATTGTATACTAAGAAGAAGTTTATCTTTTGCTTTTCAAAGAGAGGAGTGAATGGGGGGCAGGGGATAGAGAAAAAAAGTGCAACAATGAATGAATGGAAATCCAAAATCTCTGTAAATGTTCGTTAAAACTAGTAAAATTTTTTAAAAAACAACACAAAAAACTCCGAATAAAATTATAGTTTCTGTGAAATGGACACCACAGGGTTTTCAACAGCTATGAGGAGCCCTGGTAGCAGAGTGCATAATGTGTTGGACTGCTGACCAAAAATTTGGTGGTTCGAGTTCACCAGGCACTCTGGGACAAAGATGGACAATCTCCACTCTCAAAGACTTATAGCCTCTAAGGGTGGGAGCAGAGGGGTGAGGATGGGCGGGGGTGGAGTGTGGTGGTTAATCAGGGTTGCCCAACTTGATGGGTGGAGGGAGGGATGGGTAAAGGAAATGAGAAATATCCAGTGTGAAAAACAATGTATACTAACCTTGTAAGTAAACCAGTATATAATAAAAAATTTTATTTAAATAAAAGATTTATAGCCTCTGAAATCCAGGGAGAATTACTATGAACTGGAACTAATCTGATGACAGAGGGTGGCTTTTTCAGAAGTAGTTCAGCAAGTTCTTCTTTTGGAGGGATCGACACTGTCTTTTGTTAGTGCTCAATCATAGCTGTCGCCTTCAATGCTTGTTTTTGTTGGTTTTAGGTGCTTTGGCGTTAACTGTAGATCTTGTGAACAGCAGGCTGGAGCACTGGTTCTATCCCGCACCATCCTACGATCTCTGCTATGCTCAAGCCTTTTGTTCCAGTCAGTGTGTCAATTTAGCTCATAGAGGGTCTTCCTCTGTTTCACTGGTGTTCTATTTTTTAAAAAAACTCTTGAAGTGATTCTTCATTTACCCCGACAACCAGCCAACAACATTTGATTTTCCCTGCAAAACTAACCTTCAATACACACAAACCCGCTGGCATCAACTGACCATACAACTTTGGATCAAACGCTCCTGGGACAAGCTCTTTCTCCTTTGTCCCAATAGGGCAATTGATGCTTTCACTTACCCTATGCCCCCACCCAATAAATGCAATACAGTGTTGATTTGAGTATTTTATTTATAAATGTACATTTACTATAAAAGCTGTTGCATTTTAGACAACTTTTTATTTTTATTTTTTTTTTACTATTTCTGAGAGGCATTTTAGAATAAATATTGTAAATGAAGGTTAGTGTAAATGATAGAGAACGCTGGCCCACCCATAACAATAATATCTTTTGGACGGACTTACACAGGAGGTGGATCTTTCAGTTCATTAAATCTTACACTGCATATAGATAAGTATAGTAGGTATTGCATTAATAACACTATGGAGAAAGAATGAAGAAATGTCATAAAAGTTTCCTAATGAAAAACAAAGCATTTCTCATGTTTTCTTAAGAAAGAGAGGGGATTAGCGTTGGGTGTGTAAGGGGGAAAATCAGATATACTTTCTCAGGGACAATAAATCACTCAGTTGCCTCCTCCTCTTCTTTTAAACAAACACATTTACATTATAGCTCAACAGAGCAGAGCATTTTTCCCCCCTGGGATCTCAAAGATCATTTGAAAAGAAATAGATCATTCTCATTATGCTGCATTGGGAAAAACAAGATCTAGTCTGCTGAAGCTGCCATGTAACAGACTCCAAATGAAATATAAATCAAATAGAAATAGAAACAGTTGGCAATTAGAATTTAGAAAACATTGGAGATTATTCTGTGCTGGTGACTAGTGTTCATTACGGGAAAGCACATTTTGCAGTTGGAGAATGGGGCTTTATTTTTCTTGACTCGATTCTAGTTTCAATACATGTACAATGAGCCTCACTAAGAAATATGTATAAATGGGTCTGTGAAACCAGCAGAGAATGTGCAATAGTCATATATTCCTTACATAACGGATGGGGCTCCACATGTAAAAAGTATTCTATAAAAATTGGTTATGAATGACTTTATTGTACATATTTTGTGCATTATTTGTGGTAAAGTAGTCTGCTAAGATAACAGCATGCAAAGTGTAAACATCCACATTATCAAAAATGTTTAATAAAACATGCAGGTGGTTAATCAAAATATTGGACTTAATCTGTACATTTTCAAAACTTTTTTTTCCTCATTTTTTTAAATTTTTAATTTTTTTTTCCTGTAAAAGAGCAAATTCTTCCGTAAGAAGTCCTGGGAACTTGGAAATGACTTCATCTCTCTTTAATGTACTGCGTCCATAATTCATCACTGACTGTGCAACAGCTTTGCATTTTCTAAGGCACAATTTTTAATGAAATAATGTGTAAATTCCAATCTAACGACAGCTCGTCCAAATGACAATATGGTCAAAATACCACCAGTTGTCTGAGGAAATTTCTGCACTTATATGGAACCTGCATGCAAAGAACCATCTAGCATGTAAATAAATAATTGCTAGCCATCAGTTAAGACACAGGGGGGAAAAATTATTGCTTACATAAACAGAAAAACATCTACTTGGTCTCCTTTTATGACTACGTGAAACCTATTAGGAGTATCTCCACAGTCTACATTCACATAATGTAATCTTCACTTGTTTGCCATCTTTTTAAGGCAGAATAAATAGTTCCCCCTTTCCCAGTCTTAAAGAAAACAGCCTGAAGATTGAAAATGCGATGCTTTTAAATAACACGATTCCTTTCTTGGCCAGCTGAAACTCATCACACTAGGCAGAAAACAAACAAGCCCTCGATAAGAGTTCACTAAACTTGTCCACGCGCAGGGTCTTGAACTCTTGATGGTGAAGAGAGATAGTGATGGAGATTGGAGGTGAGTGCATGTCCATTTCAGTGGGCTGGGGACAATTTGAGCAGTGGGATCTTGCTAATCACACACCAGTGACTTTTCACCTCTTCATGCCATTGTGGATTCTAGTAGGATGGATTTATGCTTTCAGACACCTGAGCTTCAGGTCCTCAAGGAAGACCTTCAGGCAATGTGAGACGTGGTCGTGCCTAATGGTGGATCTTTTTAGATGAGTTCTTCTTTTTCAATGAGGACCCCCACTCTAGTGACAGAAGTAAAACAAACCATACAAAGTGATGGCCCACCACTCTTTTTGCAGATTAAACGTCTTCACAGATTTTTGTAAGAACTTTGGAAGTGACAACTGGATTCCCCTCTGTTTTCCTACCCTCTGGTAATCCTCCTTGGGTGCACGTCTAGCCGATGCTGCAAGGGTTCTCTTCATTTGATGGAACAGCCTGGATCAATGACATAACTTTCAAGGTACACAAAAATCTAACCCTAATGGTACAATAACTTATTGGTATAGCTTCTATCCTCAAAAGGTAAGCAAAAGAAATGTTTCTGGAGTACAGTATATATTGTCAGACTAGTGTCTTTGCATTGAAAAACAAGTTACAGCTCAGAGAGCTTGCTGTGGTGTTTAGTTTAGAAAATGCATTACTATGAAGCTCCTTTCTAACTTAGAGGACTGCATGTCTCAAATTGGCATGTCTCGCACTTTCTGCAGCTCGATTCTGTAAACGCAAAATGTTTCATTCCTAGAAATGCTAACACAAAACAGATTTATTGCATCATTTATCTCATCAAGTCCCAAAGAAGAGAAGAACACGTTTTAAACCATAAGCTTTCTTGGCCATGCTAGGACTCTTTTTTGAACTTTTCAGGATCATTACAAATTCCACATTCCTTTTTTATATATGTGCAAATGCAAAAAAAAAAAGAGTAAAACATGAACATGGTGCTACAAAAAGAACAGATACCATCTTTTACGACAGCCTTTCTGAAATTAGATGAATGTTGGAAAGCCCCAAAACTTGGGGTTTTGTTAGGCGATGGCCAGGGACACCCTCAATAAACAAGTGGTGAATGGTCTGGAAGCTTGCAAACCACATCACAGTGTTGTAGGTTGACCAGCACCTGTGATAAAGAAAACAGAGCCACATTTGGTGAAAGTAGGCAATATGTCTTGTTTTAGATGTTTTGAAACTTCCTAGATTAGTGATTACCTCTGACTCTTCTCCTGTGTTGTTGTTGCTAGGTGCTATTGAGTCAACTATGATTCAAATGAACAACAGATCTGAACCTTGCCCTATCCTGTGCTATTTTCACAATGTCTGATACACTCGAGACCACTGTTAGAGCCATTCATCTTGTTGAGGGTTGTCTTCTGTTTCTCTGACCCTCTCCCTTTCTCAGCATGAGGTCTCTTCCCCCTAGAGGGAGAAGACTTGTCTACTCAAAGCGTGAACCAAACGCATACAATATTGGCATCATCTGGGAGCTGTTAGAAATCCAGAATCATGAGCTCTATCCCAGATCTGTGTGACAAGACCCCGCAGAGAGTCATATGGGTATAAGGTTTGATTAGAAATGATCTGGATTTCACCCTGAACCAAGTGAACTTTCACTGAGCTTTCCATCTTGTCTTCTGGGGCAAATAAGCATGAAAATAAACTCTTTTAATCCAGGATTTTCCAGTGTTGGTTTTCTAAGAATAAAGGCACTCTAACCGAAGGATTCTACCCATGATCTAGAAATAGAATTGCTAATGGTAAAAGGCTGTGCCGAAATCTTAAAGCCACGTGGCTCAAAGCCACCAGCTGCTCCATGGGAGAAGGATGGGCAATCTCCTCTTGTGTGGATTACCTGCCTCTGAAAACCTGCCAGTGAGTCAGCGAGGGGTCTGTTCTGACTCTAAGACTCTATGGTACTCAACAACAACAGTAGGTTTAACAGATGAAAATACAGAATACCCAGCAAAATTTGAATTTTAAATAAACAATGAATCATTGTTTAGCATTAGTGTAAGTATGTGAAAGTTTGAATGGGGAAGAACAAAGAATTAATGTCTTTGAATTATGGTACTGGTGAAGAGTACTGAATAAACCATGGATGCCCAAAAGGAGAAAAAAATATGTCATAAAAGTTCAGCCAAAATGTTCCTCAGAAATGAGAATGGGAAGACTTTATCTCACATATTTTGGGCATGTTATTCTGAAAGGCCAATCCCTGGAGAAGGATACCGTGCATGATAGAGGGTTAGTGAAAAAGAGGGATGTTTTGAAAAGATGGATTTACACAGAGGCTGTAACAATGGGCCCGAGCTTAGCAATAATAATAAGGATGATGCCGGTTGGGTCAATTTCTCATTCTTTAGTACACAAATAAAGTAACCCAAGAGCCACAGCAATATGCCATGCAATATTTGGGGCAAATTTGGACCAAATAAAGAGCTTACCATATTTTAAGACACAGTCATTCTTTTTTCAAAAGTTCAAATTTAACTGGGGGGGGGGGGAATAAGAGGTCGTCTGTTATTTTACTTGTCTAGGGAGCATGGTTTGGGCTCCATGTTTCTTGCCAGAACTTTTAAAAGGTTTTTAGGCACCAGAGCTGTGATGAGGCAATTGTAACTTTGGAAAAGACCCCAGGGAGTTTGTGTTAAATGCATTTCACAAGACTGAATGATAGAACAGGACACCATGTACGAAATCAGAGCCATCCAACACCCGAGCCCAAAATCACAAGTTAAGCATGTGACGGTTTGATTTGTGACAGATAATTTGTTTTGCACTTCCACTCCCATTTACATAGGAACTTACAAACTGTGTACATTGCTTTTAGGAATGGCATTTTAATATGCTGTTATGCTATTTTTCCCCTCTAAGAAGAAAAAAAAAATCATTTAAATGTGACTAGTTACTTGGAGAAAACAGGATTATATAGTCAGGTTTTATTCCACAAAATAAAATTATTTTGTCTCACTTAGAATGCCTATGATGTAAACCACCCCTCACATCCATCCATCTCCTGTCTTCTGAACTCAGAGAAAAGAAAAGGAATGATTTTGAGCTATTCCTGCCACTTCGGTCTCTTTTTTTGCAGCTACAATATACTCAACTAAATAAATGTATTTACATTTCTCTAGGCAATTGTAATTCCCTCTACTCTTCCATTTTTCAAGTATATTTATTTCTTATGGCATCGCTGAAAAATGAGCCATTTTCTCAGATATGATAGTCATTGTTTTTGCCATGTCCTTAATTAGTTAAAATAGAGCCTAAAATTATACTAAAATAAACGAATTATACTAACATTAATGTTTATGTGTAGTAATAATAATCATGAGATTAAAAATGAGGAAAATTTTGGAAAAATTAATGTTTGAGATGGTGACCATTATTATTCCAAATTAAAACATGAAGCTGTAATAATGAATATAGATACTGGCTAACAAAACATGCTCAAAATCTCCAGGAATAGACACAACTATGCATGAGAACTTAGTTTATGACAAAGGTGGCATTTTAAAATGGTGAAAAACAAAACAGGAGGGATTATTCAATGAATGTCATTCACATTAGGATCTAATTGGGGGACAAAAAGAAGCTGGACATTTATCTCCTTTTTTACTCACGTATATTTTCATTAGAAACCAGACATAATATCTAGGGGAAACCTCAGCTAAATGACACTCTTGGAATGGTAAAATTAATCTAACTTTTTCCAGGGCACAAAATCCAGAATTCAAAAGGAAAAATAATGGTGTATTTCATTATCTACACTCTAAAGTGAACATCTTTTTGCATGAAAAATCAGGAAGTGAAAAGATCAATAGAAGTTGCAAAATGTTACAAACACGATGATCAGTGAATATCTTTAATTCAAAAAGAATGTACAAAGCAGCTGCTAATGGGAAAATGGGTACAGGATATAGTTAGTCGCCAGTTGATTTTCAACTCCTGGTGACCCTTTGTGACAGCGTAAAGCTGCCTTATGGAATTTTCTATGCCAGGTGTTTCCTCTGAGGCCAGGAAGCCCTGTAGAGATGTAGATGATAAAGAAATGTATGAAAATATACAGATTCCTCAAACAAATGCAAATCAATCAAAACAATGAATTTTTTTTTATCTGCCCTACTCAGCATAGTTCCACAGAGTTGCAGTGCTAACCCAAAGGGCAAATTAGTTGTAAAAGGGGAGGAAGTAGGGAGAGGGGTTCTTCATTAAATACAATTCACACCCTCCTATTGGTTTGAATCCACCATCAGCTCTATAAGAGAAAGGTCGGTAATCTTCTGTGAGATTTGCAAACTTGGAAACCCAACAGAGGGTCAGCTATGACTTGCTTTTAACTAAATGGCAACTCAGTGAATAGTGAATTGGAAATAACCAGCCCAGCAGGTTTCTAAGGCTGTAATAATTTTTTCCCTCTCCAAGTTATTTTTATTTTATACTGGTTTACATACAAAATTTATATACATTATACCATTCCCAGAACACTTGATCGTTCTAATGTGAAATCTATACTTGGACCAGGAAGCAGGTGTCAGAACAGAGCAAGGGAACACTGCATGGTTCAAAATTGGGAAGGGCGTAGGCCAGGGATGTATCCTATCTCCATACCTTTTCAACCTGTATGCAGAAAAGATTATCCAGGAGGCTGGGCTCTATGAGAAGTGTGGGGTCAAGATTGGTGGAAGGTCTATCAACAATCTGCGTTATGCAGATGATACAACCCTGCTTGCTGAAACTGAGGAGGACCTAAAGCACTTTCTGCAGAGGGTCAAGGACTGCAGCCTCCAATATGAATTGAGGCTCAATGTCAAGAAGACAAAGATTCTTACCACTGGGCCAATTGGCAACATCAGGACAGATGGTGAAGAGATCGAGATTGTTCACAGCTTCAGTTTGCTTGACTCTACGGTCAGCACTATCAGCACCAACAGCCAGGAAATTAGAAGACGTATTGCCATGGGAAAGTCTGCTGTTAGAGACCTCTCCAGAGTGCTGAAGAGTAATGGTGTCTCTCTGGAGACTCAGGTGCATCTGATACAGGCCATGGTCTTTGCAATTACTTGTTATGCATCAGAAAGTTGGACAATGACCAAGGAGGATAGAAGGAGAATTGATGCCTTTGAGGTGTGGTGCTGGAGAAGAGTATTGAGGGTACCATGGACTGCTGGGAAAACAAACAGATTCATCCTGGAAAGGGTCAAACCGGGCTGCTCCTTGGAGGCAAGGATTCTAAGGCTCCGTCTGACACACTTTGGACATGTTGCAAGGAGGGACAGGCTCTTGGAGAGGGACATAATGCTTGGGAGGGTGGAGGAACAGCACAGAAGGGGAATGCCCTCTATGAGGTGGATTGATTCAGTGACTGGGGTAATAAGAATGGGTGTGTTTGAGACTGTGTGATTGGCACAGGACAGAGCAGAGTTTAGGGCTGTTGTACATAGGGTCGCTATGAGTTGCAGGCGACTCGACGGCACATAACGACAACATACCATTCATGTACATTCCAGTTTCACATATTCCTATAGTCACATTGTGTTTGAAATTATCACTTATGCACATTGTGTTTTATAAAATTAATCACCATGGACCTATGCCCATTATGTCAGGTCCCCACTGGAACTTCCCTCATTCCTTCACCATCCTGTCCCAAACTCTGTTATCCCAAGTGATTTCCACCCTTTCCCACCTTCTACCCCATCCTCTTCCCCTTTTAGACTTTTATCCACATCGATATGTCCTTCTATTCATTCTCATAAGGACAAATACTGCATAAGGCTGTAACCTTTAAGGAAGAGGACTTTTGCTTCTTTCTCCTACAGATCAGTTGGTGGGTTTAAACCATGTACCTTTCAGCAAGCAGCCAAGCACTTAGCCCCTGCACTACCAGGCCTCCTTGCTGATATCCAGAGCTGATATGAATGTGGGGGGAGGGTTTTGTGTTGGTTTTTTTTTTTAAATGTACAATGGAAGGGGAGGGAGCAAATGTCTTAGGTTAATTACGGGCAATCACAATCTCCTTTTAAGCGATTTACGACTGCTTCTGAAAATCCACTGGAGGGCCAGCTATGGGTCAGTTCCAATGCAAAGATACACAACAACAAACAATAATGTGAAAATTTTTGAAGTAAATTACCCCTTTTAAAAGTCAGAAATTCATCTACCTAAATTGGATGCTGTTGAATGAATTTCAATTCAAAGTGACCCTACAGAGAAAAACAGAACTCCTCCTTTTTCTCCAACAGAAAGGCTGCTGGGTTTGAACTGCAGACTTTTCAGTTAGCGTAAGAGAACTTAACCTCAGTACCACCAGGATTCCTTTTCTACAGCTCAGAATCTACCATATAGAGATGCTTGCAAATATTCATCAAATACGTGCACAATGTTCACAGGAACAGTTTTTCAATTAAAACAACAACAACACAACTAGAAACAGAATAGGGAAAAGAGTGGCTAGTTAATGAGAAATTCACTGGAACAGATGAGGAAAAGAAATGTCTGCAAGGAATATATGATTAGGCATTATATGTATGACAACAATCTGAAACAATAGGTGCATTGCGAAGTGGACTGGGAGAGGGGGAAAGAGGAGGGAAGAAAATGTACAACAATGAATGAATTTAAAAAAATTTAAAAACCTCAGCTGGAAACAACAAAAGCACCCGTCCATCAAGAATGAGTTACAATGGGATTGCATGTAGTCACTGAAATAAATGACTAGCAAGAGTGTGTTTAAAATGGAAAAATCACCCAAGATACATTACTCAGTTAATGACATCAATGACAAAAACAAAGTGCAGAGCATCAGGAGTAAATGATCGCTTTGTGAGAGTACACATGGGCAGGCAAATGTGACACACACACACACACACACACACACACACACACCATGGTTACGTGCATACATACACACAGACATTCTGCCCTTGTCCCATGACATTATTAGAAAGGTATTGCTGTGGTTACCTGGAAATTTTCCCTTGCCATTTGGTACCTTTCTGAACTCTTCAATGCATTTTCTGACTTTGTAGGATTTGTTATTGTTGTTGGCTTCCATCAGCTTGACTCCCAAATCATGGCAGCCCTGTGTGTGACACAGTAGAACTGCCCCAGACTTTCTCAGTAGTCACCTTTACAGGTACCAGAGTGTGTAGTGTGTAGTGTGTTGTGCTTCTCACCAAAAAGCACCATGTTTCAGCTGTTTAAAGGCCATCAGTCAGCCGGCCAAAACCAGCTTGATAGCAGTGGCCATTCTGAGCTTTCTATCTCTTTTTGGGAATAGTTTGGTAGGGTCTTCTCTAGTCACTGGGTAGATCTGAACCACCAACCTTTTGCTTAGAAGCCCATTACAAACTGTAGCTGAGATAAGATATCATTTATAACTTTTAATCACTCATTCTTTTGAATTTCTATAGAGGTTATTTAGTCAGAGGTATTTGGGCCTTTTTACTTCTTTGTGTTTCTTTGTATTCTAAAAAAATCCTAACAAAATATTGTACTAAAATATAAAAAAAAAATAGGCATAGACTAAATTCAAATTGTCGCCTTTTTTTTTTAATCTTGTGAGAATGTTGCCTATGATTTTTGTCTTAAGATTTGGAATAAAAACAGAGGTAAGAGATTCATGACCTAGATGGGAAAAGCCAATTTCCAAAAGAAATCATAATGACTCACACAACTTCTCAAGTGAAGAGAGAAAAATCTAGATCAAAAGAGGTCACTGTCACCTAGAGGTGGGCTCGGGTTTGTTCTTGTTGGCATTCTTCCAGCACTTTAATTTATGAAAGGAGTCCAGTTTGTCTCAATGGCTCTCCTTCAGCCTAACAGTGCCCTCTTCTGGTTCTATGTATCACATGCGGCTGCTTCATCAAAATGCTTCGCATACAGAAGACAGGAAAACACAATTTTGAAACCTGAGAGATAAGGTTTTTAGTTTTCCTTTCTCTCATTTTCAACTCATTGCTGTTGGGTCAGAACCGACTCATAGCTGACCCTTCAGCAGGTTTTAGGGAGCGTGTAAACTGCATACAAGGAGAGTGCTCATCTTTTTTCCCATGGAGAAAGGTGCCAGTGGATTGGAACAGCTTGAGAGCCTAAATTTAGACTTGTAGCTCAACTCTGAGGGATTACTGTTATTCATCTGAACCATTGAGTCAGAACCAACTCACAGCTGTCCCTCCCCCCTCCAGTGGGTTTTCAGAGGCTGTAAATCACACAGGAGGAAGCTGTCTATCTTTCTTTGCTGCTTAGAACCTCTTGAAGTTCTCTCGAAGTTGGCAGTGCAACTCCTTACCCACTAGGCCACCAAAGCTGGTGGACGACTAGTGTATGCAAATAATAACAAACAAACAAAAAATCCATTTGTGGTTTAAACAGTTTGGTAGCATCTAACTTCTAGTCACATGTTTTGATCTAAAGTCAGATATTCCTCAGAAGCTGAGTGTCATTTCATTTCCATTCTCATAATTTTATCACGACAGACTCATATTTCTCTGAATATAGTAAAATCACATATCTTCTTAAATTTAGCCTTCACTCTTAAAGTTTTTGTCTCATAGATTTAGTCATTCATGTTATGTGTTGTTGAGTCAGTTTTGAAAATTAAACAATAATAGCAAAAAAAAAATATGAAATGACATGTTGCATTGGGTAAATGGGCTGAAGCACAGTTTAGGGACCCATGTTGTAAGATGCAACTTTTACGTGTTGTTATTGTGTACCATCAAGTTGGGACCGGCCCCTGGCTGACCCTCTGGTGGGTTTCCAGAGGCAATAAGCACATGGAAGGAGATCGCTTTCCTTCTCCCATGGGAGAACCTTAATTTACTTTCAAAAATAATTTTCTTATTTTCAGAAATAGAAACAAGATATTCTTGTTAAATCTCAAATTCTTATCTTTTTTTTTTTTTTTAATCTTCTTAGAAGAGTTTTTGTCTTAGGAATTTGCATTAAAACCTCTACTGCATCCAAGCACACTGGCCACGCACTGTTCAGATTTTCAAACAGCAGCTGGGCAACAGCACCCCCTGGTGGCCTTAAAATCAACATGAATCTTCAGCAGCAGGAGAACTGAGAGAAGGGAGGGCTAGCTTTGGGATCCACGTCAGCCTGAGTTGTGGTTCAGAGAATCAGAAGCCACCATTTTGTCTCTCAAAGAACTTTCAATTAAGTTCGTAGGAAAAAACCCCAACCCCATGTTGTTATTGATGTTTTTGGGTGCCTTCAAGTGGACTATGCCTCATAGTTGCCCTGTGAACAACAGCTCCGAACCTTAACCAACCCTGCACTATGCTCACAATCTCAGATATTCTTGAGCCCATTGTTACAATCACTTTGTCCATTCATCTTGTTGACGGGCTGCCTATCAGGATGTGGATAGCGAGGAACTGGACCTTGAGCGATACCTAGTCAAGAGCAGAACCATTCTTCCCGGGTAAATCATTCCAAACGGTACTGGTCTTCTAAAGATATCTCTCAACAAATTTATATCTTCCTTTAACTTCACCAGGGTCTCTCTGATAAGCTCTCACAGTGTCTAAAAAGTGGCTTGCAGTTTTGATCTGCTCATGTGTTAATACACTTCTATAAGGACAGGTTATGTGTACACTGTAGTAGCCACTTGCAGTAAGAAACAAGTAATAAATGGGGGTGATTTCTGGATAATTTCTTTTCCTAAATGTTAGCACATTCTGTCAGCTTGTTGAACGGTTGTAGCTTGCATGGCACAATGACACTGTAAGTTATGCTACCAGTGTTTTCAAAACTTAAGGCAGCCTGGGATAAAAGGTCTGGTAATCTGTTTTCAAAATTCAGCCAATGAGAATCTTATGGATAGCAACATGGGAAAAATACAACCAGGCTGTTCCTTAGAAATGATGGTGAGACCTCAGCTTGTTCATTTTGGACATACCGTTGCTGTTATGAACCATTGAGTCACAAGCCATTTTACAGCTGACCGTCCAGTGGGCTTTCTGAGGCAGTAAACTGCATGGGAGGAGACTGCCTGTCTTCTACCTGCAGAGCAGCTGGTGGATTCAAACTGTGTGTCCTTGGGTTGACTCCTTATGTCTAAGCCACCAGAACAAAGGGACCAATTGCTGGAGGAGGGCATTGTGGTTGGTAAATGGAGCGCTGACAAAGGACAAGCAAGCACTAAGGGAGATAGACGAGTTGGCACAGTGATGAAAACAATGGGGGCAGATGGCAACAATCACGTGGATGAACCAGAATAGAGTGGGGCTTTTTGGGAACTCTGGTGGCCGAATGTGTAAGGAGTTGTTCTTCCATCTCAAAGGTAAGTGGTTCAGGTCCACCAGTGGTTTTGTGGAAGAAAGACAGCCAATCTCCTCCCATGTGATTATAACCTCTGACAACCTGATAGAGGGTCAGCTGTGAGTTGGTTCTGACTCCAGGGCAGTAACTTTTCTTGACTGATGGAGTTGCTGTGGGCCAGTGTTGACTAGAAAACAACTACCACCATGACCAAGTGTTAAAGAAGTAGTTTCCTCAGGATAATACTATCTATGTAGAGGACACAGAACTCCTGGATCTGGTTCTCCAAAAGGTAGCATGGGGTTGCGTCATGCATCTCAAGTACTTACTTCTGGACCGCATGTAGCAATCATTACAGTTGAGAAGACCATTTCGAATCCTAACGTCCGTCCCACTCACTGCATCTCCGAGCTGTCCTTTACAAATTCCACACTACAGGGGGAAAAGAACAGAAGAAATAAGATACAGAAGAAGTTCTTTCTTTTCCTAACAATTTATGCTATTCTTATTTAAGAATTTTGAAAAATATTGCTTAGTTAGTTATAGGTTAAGTAACTAGAACACTAACCGTTTCTGCAATCACCTATTTGTTGAGCATCTGTTTCACGATTGGGTTCTACACAAAGAGCTGACTTGCAACAATGTACTGACAGGATTTTGTCCCAACTCCTTTCACTACACAAAGGAGGAGACTGGTTCAGAGAGCTTAGCTAACTTGAATCCAAAATCTATGTTCTCAACCTCTATTCTAAATGCCTTCTCTGTCAGGGCAAGAGAACCATTTAAAAAAGACTAAAACCTCTGTATTTTAGAGAAACACTTGGCCAAACTCTCAATTGAAACTTACTTGTGAATAGTCTTTTAGATGCTTTCTAGCAGCGTCATCAAGTTCTACTAGAATTATTAGACAGTAACTGCACTTTCTATGTTCACATTGAAGGCAACGTTGCCCAGAGTAACAAATCCACTGGAATGGCATTTTTTAAAGCCACGTCATCCTGTGTACAGATGGACAGGGTGGGATAGATACAGCATCTGGTTCTACCAGAAGCAGCTGCAGTCAGAGTTGGTCTAGATGCAAAGTTCTTACAGAGGACAAGGACCTGAAGCCACAGGGGCCAGGGGCCAGTTATATGCAAATTATGTTACAAGCTGTAGTTATCTCACAAAGGTGGGCAATAAAAGAAAGAAGTGCCTTGATGAATCAAATTAGCTCCAGGAAATGAATGATTACAGAGTGTAAAAACCTTGATAGCTAAGAATGCCAGAATCTTATACCTTGAGAATCTGCAAAGATCCTTAAATACCTTCATTATTTTTAGCTTTGGTAAAGTTTCTGAGAACAAAATGTGGTGTTAAAACATTTCATCTTGGTATTATAATAGAACTATATATATAATCAAGTAACTTGATGGCACATAACAACAATAACAATATATTTATATTTATATTATTTATATTTATTTATTTTTCTGGAGCCTTATCAACCTTCTAGATAATTTAGGATATATATCATCTAGGTTATTTTACAATGAGAAACTATTTGGTTTCGCTTGGTGAAATTGTTCTCTATAAAACAAAAATAGAACTGAGGGTATGGCAAATTTTGGTCTCATTCCAGTATGTGTGTTATATAGAATATGTAACAAATGTTCATAATGTTGATAAATCTTGTTTTCAAAATGATTACTGATATTAAATTAATTCTGCAAGGTTATTTTCCTCACTTTCACTTAACATACATTCAAAGTAGGAAAAGAAGATCCTTAACTAGATGGATTGACAGAGATTGCAGCCATGGGTTCAGTGTGTCAGAGATTGGGAGGCTGGCACGGGATAGGACAGGGTTCAGAGCTGTTGTTCATAAGGTCGCTGTGAGTCATATTTGACTTGACAGCACCTAACAGCCACCATGACAAGCCAACTTCTTAGAGCAACACACAATGTTGTTGTTCTAAAGTCAACATTCCATCCACACAATCATTAGGGGGAATCTCACAAGCAAAGGCCTTCAAGATTTCCAAGAAATGTTTCCTAGTATCTAAAGATAGTGTGCCAAAGGATATCATGAAATATTTAACAAGAAGGCTGGTAAGTACATACCCGGAAGCACTGGATATGAAAATAGAGATTAAGGGTCTCGATGATCATAGCGGCTCCTTTACCTAAAGGAAGGCTACAGGAGGAACACAGTTTCTTCCCACTTATAGACCTAGATTAAAGAGAAAGAAGACATACATATATGCAAAAAGTAAAATTTAGGTTTAGTTGGTCAAATAAAAAAATAAAAACTTGTCGTTAACAGGAAATTGATTATTATATGTGGGTTTCAGACAAAGGCTAGACTAAACACAACAGAACTCTATTTCAGCATGGTATGGGGTTTGCAGGGTGAACATGTGGGAGTGTGGGAGTGTGTGCATGTTTGTGAGCCCAGACACAATTTATGGCAAGAAGTTTGTGTTGCAGCTTATTCAATCACTGAGATCAAATACCTGGAGATGATTATGTGTATTTACGTATATTTTCATAACTCCTAAAAGATAATTAAGCTCATAGTTTTACCAAATTTTCCATTTTTTCATAATCACTGCATTAGCCCAGTTGTTGTTACTGTTAGTTGCTGTCGAGTTGAGTACAACTCATAGAGACGCTGGGAACAAAAGATCTGAACCCTGCTCTGTCCTGCGCCATCCTCACACTTCCTGACACACAAGAGTCCACTGCAGCAGTCACCATTTCAATCCACCTGGTTGAGGGTCTTCCCCTCCTAGCAACATGCCCAAAGCATGTGAGAAGAAGTCTCATCATTCTTGCCTCCAGAGAGCACTCTGGCTACACCCTCTCCAAAACATAGCTGTTTGTTCTCTTGGCTGTTCACTAGTCCAGTAGGAGATTTCTTTTTACTTGTAAAGAATACAAACTCCCCCCCCCTCTTAATATAGAGAACTGTGATACATAAAACAGGTACCACGCAGAAAGATGAGATGCAAACCCTAAGCCACAGGATCAAACCCTTATTCTAGCCCCAAGTCCAACGATCTGATAGAAAGGAGTCATTGGGTGGTTTCCTTTTGACCTCTGGGATGAGGGGACTGAATTAGAATACCTCTTGGTCATCTAGATTATCACTTATCATCCAAACATGCTATATGTCTATGATCTGTTGTTGTTGATTGCCATCAAGTCGAGCACGACTCATGGTGATGCTATGAACAAAAGGCCTGAAGCCTTTCTGTAACTATCAACATTTATCTAGATCATAGCATTTCCAGAAGCATGTTATTTAGGAAGCGGATGCCACTCCTGCTTCTGACTATGACCTGAGTACTTGTCATTTTCCATTTCAAGCCCCTGGAAGGTATGCATCATGTCTCTCTGATCTCTATATCCCCAGTTGATGGAATGAAACCCAATCAATGGACTAGAATCACACCCAACAGGCTCACACCACGTAAGATGCCTTGCTCAACAATCCATCTAAAAATAGGTGGACATCCTTTTAAAGCAGCTTTTCTAGAGTAAGCATCAGATAGCAATGCTGCCTATTGCCTGAAATACTCTTGGAACAACAGGGGGGGGAACAAAGGCTTTGCAATCTGTGCTATCCTTTGAAAGGCAAGGGGCTACAGAGCAATAGCAGCATAGAAAGGGAGGCTAAAGAAAAGAGGGAGGAAGAGTTGCCCTCAGCCAACTATTTATTAGGATCTCCCTCTTATCCAGTAGTTAAATGAAATTTCTAAAGCAAAGAGAACCTCAGAGTACTCAGTAATTCGTTTCTCCAGCGAAGGGAAATTCAGGCAGCTTTTAAGAATATCACGGGGCCCAATTAATGTCCAGAAGCAATCATTAGAGAGCTGGGGTGGGCTAAGAGGGAAAGACGAAGTTTGTCTTCTCAGCCTCCGCCTGGTTCTCAGGAAGAGAAATCAGCAGATCCTGCCTAGCGAAGCTGAGCAGCCTTGGAGGGAGAGGCGCCACACGAGAAGCCCAGCGAGTGTCTGGGAGGTTTTATTATTAGATTGCAGGTCCCACACAATGTAATTAAAACCCTGTGGCCACAGCCATGACAACGCCACACAGGTGGCTGTTTTCCTTTGTGGGCTGATAAGCCAGCAGGTGGATGGAAATGTTTTCTTTCCTCCTCTGTGTGTTTGTGGGGGTGTGTAGAGGGACAAAACCTTCAAAATTAATTGGCAAGTGGTGGCTGTTGTTGTTAGTACTGTTGAGTCACATACTAACGATAATGACTCTATGAACAACAGACCTGAACCCTGGCCTATCCTGTACTGTCCTCCCAATCTCATTGAGGATCTTCGTCTCTTTTGCCCTCCTTGCCTCCAAGAAGTACTCTGGCTGCACTTTCCTCAAGACCTATCAGCTTGTTCTTTTGGCAGTCCATGAGATATTCAGTACTCTTCTCCAACACCACAGCTCAAGGGCATCAATTATTCTTCTGTCATCAACAAGACAGACTGACACAGTGACAGCAGCAATGGGCTTATGCATGTCAGAGATGAAGAGGATGGCACAGGACAGGACAGGGTTCAGATCTGCTGTTTATAGGCTCTCTGTGAGTTGTATTCAACTTGATGGCACATAACAACAATAACAACAGTTTGGGCACAGGATAGGGCCAGGTTCAGACCTGTTGTTCACAGGGTCACTATGAGGTGCAGCTGACTCAACAGCACATAATAACAACTACCATTCAGTTGCAATTATGCTTAACAAGTTCTAGTGAAATAAAACCTAGCAGCCTCAGGAAGGTCCCTAACCTCCTGTACCTGCTTGGTGACTGGCCAGGAGGCGTGGGAGAGCAGGGGGACAAATGTCCAGCCTGGAAGTTCTCTTGAGGGCGGGGCCTGCAAAGGAGATGATAATTAGGACACAATAAGAGAAGACTGAGTGACAAAAAATAAAATAAAATAAATGACAGTTATGACACAATAAGAGATTGATCCACAAAAAAAAAAACAAAAACAAAACAAACAAACAAACACACAAAACGACTCTTTAGGGAAGAAATACTGATCTTCCTTGACAACCAAATACAAGTCTGTAGAGTGGCCTAATGAGAACTTTTTTTTAAAGGAAAAAGATAATAACTGCTTAGCTGGTTACATAAGATAAAAACCAGGCTGGCAATGTTAAGTGATAAAGACAGACTATTTTTCCAACCTCCATTTTGCTAGGGCTTTAAAAGCTGAGTTAAAACTGCTGAAATGTTCTTTTTTTTTTTTTGTGAATTGCCACCTGTTTTTCCACATGAGGAGTTAGTACTAAAGATTATGAATTGGGTGTAGAGGGGAATATGAGCAGAAATTCAGGGACAAACCCTTGGCGTGGAATAAAATGGCAGGGAGTCAAAGTGTTTTTCAGAGAGTGGTCTCCATTCTTATCAACAAACATGGTGCATGTGAGGGGTGATGCTCAAAACATTAAACCACCACCGTGAAATGAGCATCAACAGCTCCAAACAGCCACAAGCCTGAGGATACTAGAACATTGGTCAGGCTCTCTTAGATGTCCAGGAATCCTGCCCTGTAATTAAACTATGAGTTCTCTTGCTTTTGAAAATCCATCTCATTTAGAAAAGGGTACAAGACAGAAATGCATGAGGAAAAGAGAAGACTTAGCTGGGAACACAGTATCACTGTCTTCCAACTGTGACTTCACCATAACTCTCGACACCCTAGCTGACCAAGCCTCTCTTGCATGTTCATGGAAAACCTTAAACTATATCACTGATTAAAAAAAAGAAATTTTTTAAAGGTTAAAATCAATTGCATTCATTAATAACAATGATGATTATTTTCATACTCTGGTGGCCTAGTGGTGAGGAGTTGTGCTGCCAACCCAAAGACACACTGTTCAAATCCACCAGCTGCTCCATGGAAGAAAGATGGGCAATCTCTTCTCATGCAATTTGCAACCTCTGAAAACCTACCGGAGGGTCAGCTATGAGTCAGTCCCAACTCGACAGCACATAACAACAACTAATTCTGAGTATCATATTACCACCAAGCCAAAGCCACTGTCTTCTAGTAGTTTCAGACACCCAGTGACCCTGCGGGACATGGTGGAGCTGTTCTACAGGGTTTTCATGGATGTAAATCTTTTTGAGAGCAGAAGGCCTCATATTTCTCTCACAGAGTTCCTGGTAGGTTTGACTGTTCACCTTATGGTCTGTGCCCCAATCCTTAACCCACTGAGGTTCCTAATGTGCCATAGAAAAATGACATTCACTGGACATAACAAGAGGAAGAGTGCAAACACTGTATTAAAAAAATAAGACAAAAATGGATATTCATTCTCTCCCGAACAAGTTATCATCACCATCACCATTGTTATGACCACACTGTAGACAAGAGTTACTCTTCACCAGGTATGACATCCTGTGAAGAAGATATTGTAATTATTCCCATTTTACAGATAAGAAGATGAAGTGTAAATTGCAGGTAGATGGCTGGGGCAAAATTTCAGTCCAGACAGCCTGGCTCTGATATGTTAAAGTATGACAAATATTTTCTTTTAAAAGTTGTTGTTGTTGTTGTTATGTGCCGTCAAGTCGTTTGCGACACTTATGAAAAGCCTTGGCTCAAATCAGATCTTATTGTAGAGCTGTGGATTCCTTTTAATTTTGTCTATTTAACCAGTCAGGTACTTTGGGGCAAGTAATTTAATGTTCCTGAGCCTGTGTCTATTCACCTGTAAAATGGGAACAGTAACCTCAAAAAGTTAGAGAGTTTGGTGAGTTAACATATAAAAAGAGAACTGTATGCAAATATTTTAATATACTGTTGGTTATACTGGAAGGCTTTGAAAAAATGATAGAAACTATTATTATTGTGAAAAAAGAAAGTTAAAATTCTTACGAATTTAAACAATAGCCTAATACAGCTACCTTGACAGGAAAACATAGTAAGATAATGACATTACCACCCCCGCCCCCCACCGAAAGAACTTTTGCAAATAGGCTCTGAGGCCATTTAACTCGAATAAATTATTAATACAACAGGCCTGAAGATTCTTTCTATAAGTTAAGAAATGGAGGATGAATATTTAATTCCCAGGAAGAAGAGAAGGCACAAAGAGGGTGCTGACATCTTGTCATCACACTTTTTTTCGTCTTTTTTCCCTCCTAAATTAATAAATTTAGGAAGGAACTCCACCTCCATCTGTTTTGGCTACTTACTTCCGCCTTTCACTAGGAGACTCTATCTGATGGTTGATGCTTTTATCCAGTGAGAGGGTTTTCGGCTTCACATCTTCTGAAATGTGCGTAGGTGGGTTTAATACCTGCTGATTCCAGGATGGATCTGAGGCCAATCAAAGAGCATAAATTCAGTGTGCAGTAAAGTCATCTTGTTGTTCTTTCTAGTGGCCTGGGCGCCATCTAGTAAATTACCTTTCTTGAAAGTTCTAAGGCCTGCTGAGGTTTCCAGATTGCATGTAAATTCTGGGCACACTGCTAAAGGACAGCCCAGATGACTTTATCAGAGATAAAGGAACCAGAACTTTTACTTTCTCTTATCTCTGGTGTAATATTAGCAATCCTAGGAACAACAGATTGGAACCTTGTCCTGTCCTGTGCCATTATCACAATTTCCATCACGTCAGTGAGGGTCCTCCTCTCTTGCACTGACCTATAGCAATATTAAAAGGATTGACTTTTTATTCAGTTGTTGCGGTATCATGCAGTCAGAAGTGATCTATAGCTGACCTTCCGATTGCATGGGAAGAGACTACCCATTTTTCTCCAGTGGAGCAGCTGGTGGATTTGAATTGTATACCTTTGGATTGGCAGCATAATTCTTTACCATTAAACCACCAGAGCCTCCATTTTTATCCAGTAGGAAATGCATAGTTAGGTGGACACAATCCTTCAAACACAGGGAAAAGACATGCCTTTTTCTGTCCCATGGCTACGTTGCCGGGAATTTTGCATTTAAACCCTGGGTGATCCTTCCCATGCTTACCCTGAGATAGTGGTGAATTCACCCCACAATGAGGAGTCCCAGCTTCAGTTTCCAGCAGTTGGTCTTGATGGTGTCCTTTTAGTACAGGGTTCTCAGAAGGATCCAGAGTTCCTTGAGTTAGGCTGTTAAAAGTTAGAGATATTTCAGCACAGTTAGACTCCTTGGTCCTATTGCTTAATGCATGGCGGTGCTGATTATAAAGTAAAAATAAACATGAAAAATTCTTTTTGCATGAAATGAGGTCTGAAATAGATTTAAAGTCCTGTACAATAATATACCTTTTCATTATCCATCAATTTGATAAGGCAAGAAACTGTCATTTCTGATTTCTCTCTACCTCCCTATCCCTTGAACTCATCATTCTCCTATTTTCGAGGGATGCCAGGGTTAATTGAAGTCTTTCAGGTTTTTACAAGAGAATCAGAAATCTTTTGGGTCATGTAAGATGTTTGCTGCTCATGCTAACACCCTTCCTTTAGGCGGATGTTGACTACAAAGATATGGAAGATGGAAGATAAGAAAGAGAATCCAGTGACAACACGGACTGTCTGGAGAACTGGTAAAGATTCACACAAAATGCACATCAGCATCATTCACATCTTCTTTTTCATTTCATAAACTTGAGAAGTCCCTTTACATTGTTGTAGTTACATCACTGCTGTTGTTACGTGTTGTCAAGTTGGAGCTGATTCACAGTTGACTCTTGGAGGCAGTAAATAGCTGGAAGGAGACTTTCCATCTTCTTCTCTCAGAACAGCTGGTGGATTCAAACCATGTGTCTTAGAGTCAACAGCCCAGCTCCTTACCATTGGGCCACTAACATTCCCCACCACTTTAGACAGTGATGAACAGATACATGCAAGAAAGTGGCCCATGGTCTCTCTAGCTTTCTAGCTGATGTGCTTAGGGGATTTCTCAGAGAAAAAGTCTCAGCAAAAGAGCTCTCAGCTGTCAGCCAAACTTGCCAAATTGGCCAGTCTTTAAAAATGACTTAGGTATTCCTTTGTATCTTTAGGTCTCTTAAGTAATTGCTCTGTTGTGGTTGCTGTGTACTATCAAGTTGGAAATGACCCATAGCTGAACCTCTGGAGGGTTTTCAGAGGCAGTTAAGCTCATGGAAGAAGACTGCCCATCCTTCTACAAATGTTCTGTGTGTGCACACAAATACCAACACCTACATGGTATTTCTGAGCCAGGCTTGATAGATGCTTCAGCAGCACTTACTCATAAAAACACCTGTTTCATAAAAACCCTCCCTCCTGGGCTTGCAGTAGCTCCCTTCCAGGTTAGCCAGGAGTAGCATCAACAAACTCCAGTCCATGTACAAGATCACGACCAGAATCCCTTCCAGTCTGAGTCAGTTCTGGATGCTCTAAGTGTTTCTCAGTGTTCTGGTCTGATAGCATGATTACCCATCATCACTCCGTTTTGTTGTTGTTGTGTGTCAGTGGTGGAATCAACTCACAGCTGACCCTCTAGTGGGGTTTCAGAAGCTGTAAATTTCACAGGAGACTACGTGCAACCAGGCCAATAGACAACATTACAATAAATGGAGAAAAGATTGACGCTGTCCAGGATTTCATTTTACTTGTATCCATAATCAACACCCATGGAAACCACATGCAAGGAATCAAAAGATGAATTGCATCAGGAAAATCTGCTATCAGAGACCTCTTTAAAGTGCTAAAAAGCAAAGATGTCAATTTAAAGACTAGGGTGAGACTGACTCACTCAAGCCATGCGTTTTCCATTGTTCATGTGCATGTAAGCATTGGACAATGAGTAAAGGAGACTGAAGACCTGAAGCCTCTGAACTGTGGTACTGGGGAAGAGTACTGACTATCCCACAGACTGCCAAAGGAACAAACCAATGTCTTGGAGGAGGAGCAACCCGGGTACCCCTTAGTTGCAAAGATGGCCATATTTTCTCTCTCTCATTCTTGGAGCCTGCTGTCAGGAGGCACCAAACCTTGGGAAAAGACATCATGCTGGAAAAGGAGAGGGTCAGTGAAAGAGAGGAAGACCCTCAATGAGACAGAGTGACACAGTAACTGTAGTAACGGGCTTGAGCATGACGGAGGTAATGAGGAGGCTGCAAGACAGAGCAAGGCTTGGATCTCCTTCTCACAGGGTCGCTATGAGCTGCCCTCTATTTGCCGACACCTAACAACAATCATCAGTGTTCAGATAAACCCGTGTGGGGACCTGAGGACTTGATGTCAGCCTCTCTTCCTCCACACATATTCACCCTTTCAGATGGACAGTATCTAGACTTAAGGCTTTCAATTGACAACCTGCTCCTTTAATAATTTCTATAGTCTCTCTAAAAAAAACAAAACAAAAACCCAAAACCAAAACGTGGTGAAAATACACATGTTAACACATTTGCCAGCATAACTCCCACATTTAAAATTCAATGACATTGATTACACGTTTCATGTTGTGCTACCATTATCACCATCCTTTTCTGAAACAGTCCACCATTAACATAAACTCAATGCCCCTTAAGCAAAAAAAAAAAAAAAATCTCCATTTCTCCTTAGTTAAAAAAAAAAGAAAGCTTTCTTTCTTCTACTTAAAAATGAGCTTATTTATATTCACTACCCAAAGGGCACTTACTTCAGAGATATTAGATTGCGTCTAAGAAATAGGCACTGTATTACTGGAATGATGATTTCAAAGCAGAATCTGATTTACATTCACAATGAGGACCCTCCCTGGGAGTGAGGCGGCAGAGCCTGGTTTCTGTGTGTGGTGACGGGTTGCCTGGTGCCTGGCTCCTACCTCTTCTTCTGAGCCTCCAGTGGACCACTTTCCCGATTCTTAACCAGTAAGCCATCATCGTCCTTTTGAAACAGCTTCTGCTGGCTTCTCTGTGGTTCTTCCTCTCCACAGTTTTCCACATCTAGCTTATTCTGGGGGAAGAACAGCGATAATCTTGAATGGACTTTCTAAACCCATTTGACAACACATCTCATCATAAGTAATTTTTTTAAAAAATCATCATTAGTTGTTCAAATGAACTAAATAATGATAGCTTTCCAATGCTTTGGTTTAAATGCACCATCTGCATCCCTTTCATAAGTCATCATAAATATGTACTTATCAAAAAGCTTCAAGTAAATTAATAAGGCCCCGGTCTGCTCATTTCAGGACAAACGGCATTCTAGTGTCCACAGGTTATTTTGTTCAGAGTATGACTTATTCAAAGTCCTTGGTTGGTACAAGTGGTTTCGTCTCAGTGACAAACGCAAAGGTTGGCAGTTTGAATCCACAGGACAGTACTGCCGAAGAAGGCCTAATGGTCTGCTTCCACAGAGATTACTGCTAAGAAAACTCCATGGTAGTGCAATTCTAGTTGGCCATGGAGGGTAGAGGCCACGAGTGGGAATGAACTCAATGGCAATGAGTTGATGGCTCACTCAGGTCTTGGGATAACATCTGTCTAGTACCATCTGTTTGCAGGATGTGGAGGTAGGTTAGCCTGTCTAGTTCCTTGCAGCTTATTAAAATAGACTCAAATTTATTGTGGAATGTAAATGGGACTGGAAGCAATTTCACAGAAGTGGGCAGGAAGCTGACATGCCTCCTGCTACCAACCCACCTGCAGGAAGGTATGACAAGGAGAATGTCTCCTGAATGAGTGAATATGCCAGAAGTCTGGCACTTTCAGACTATGGTTTTGGTAATCGGGACCTTGCTAAGCAGATGTGGAAAGGCTTTGGTTGTCAGTCTGTTAAGTCAGATCTTATTTGGGTAAGGATGTAACTGCTTCTCAGGAAATGACTCCAGAGCTTAGCTAGAGCAGGAACGGCACAATGGTACGCGACTTATACGGTGGCCAAGTTGCATATACGTGTATACAGTTGGCATCATTCTAGGTCATTGACCAGCCTGAGATGGACTACAGAGTCTACCAGGACAACCCAAATTGTGGTTTTTCTGCTTCTATTTATGTTTATTTACTTAACAAGTGAGTTTTTAATCTCTGGTCTCACCACTGCCCCGCTGCCTTCAGTTATTGAAGAAGAGGTAGACAGCTGGTCAGCAGAACTTGAAGAAAGAGTAAACGGAACTACTGTGTCTTCAATTATCTTTCGTTCCTAAATAGAAAGAAAGACAAAGAAAAAAAAGTCACATTTTCCAAGCGAAACATTTTATTAAGGAATGCCAGGGGGAAACTTCAGAAGGTGAGTAAACAAGCAGGACATTGAAAAGAAGATTTCAACTTTCTGAAAGCATACAGATCATTCAACATTACCCGTGAGCAATGATTTCGAAATTAGGATTTAAAAAAATGAAATTAGGATTTAGTTTAGGAAACAAAGCCTTTGCAAATTAATTAGTTAGTCTCAATCGACAAGCTTAACTAGAAAGGCTACTGGGGATCAGATTAAGTACCAAAAAAATTTTGCTAAGATAAAATGAACAACGATTTTTATCAGAAATATTTTTTTATAATATACCTGAGGTGGAGTTCTAGCCCCTTTCAGATTCTCTGATATGTATGATCCGCTATTTTTTTTTATCTAAAATTCAAAACAAAACACAACTCTTCTCTTCCCAAATCTTTTACGTATTATGTTTCAAACGCAGCACTGGGTAAGGATTCCTTCATTTAGGATCATTACAAAAACTATCCTTCTAAAATTTATTTACTATTACAAAGCAAACAAACCAATAAACAAAAAAAAAAAAAAGAAAATTTGATTCTTTTTTTCTATCCCTCTAAGATGAGTCAAAACTCCAAATCTCTGCCTAAATAACTATATGATCTGCATCTTTCAAGGAAGTCGAATGAAATCTGTTCTAAGCGCATAAGACACAGCCACATGCATATACATGCCACAGACACAAAGAGTACTGACAGACTTTACACACTGGGACTACAAGGTCAAATTCATCTCCAACAACCAGAACCGCAAGGTCTAATTTTTCTTCTCAGAAAGGTCCTACCTCCTCATAGTATCTGCGTTCTTCCTCTTCCACCTCCTTTTGAGCCTTTTCCCATTCTTCTTTCAGCTTGTCCTGCTCCTTCTGGTACCTTTCCTGTTACAGAATTTCCATAGAATGTTCTGAACCGCCCATTACAGGCGCCATTGGGCATTTCCCCCTCTAATGAGAAATGCTGGTGGCACAATGGTTAAGTGCTTGACTGATGATTGCAAAGTTGGTGGCTGGAACCCACTAGCAGCTCACTGGGAGGATAGACTGGGGATCTACTCCTATAGAGGTTATAGCCTAGACAATTCCATGAAGCTGTTCTGCATTACAGTGACGCTATGAGAAGGAACCGACTCAAGAGCACACAGTAACAAATCACTATGCATGTTATGTTCCAAGTCTAAATTCCTGTCGCAATATTCTGAGACTAATACATGTGTCCAGTCACACAGGACACTCACTCATTTGTGCATACAGACATTTTAGGGACATAGAAATCCAAAGGCAAGATGTATTTTCTGCTCCACTGTTTTGTAGCATTGTTCTTCAGCCATACAAATAGAAGTCTACTTACACCACAGCTTATGGAAAAATAAAGATGGGGGATGTAAGCTCATTTAATCATTTGCTTTCCCAGGGCCCTTCAGAGAGGAGCTGGCGTTCTTCTAACAGAAATAACCTGCTGCCAGGAGGGTTAAATAAAAGATAAAAAAACCTCACAGGTTTATAAAATAGACAATGCATAAAGGTCCAAAATGGACAAGATGATAAGTAGTTGAGTAGCTGAATTATTCTCTGCTTGTAGCTATTCTACCCAAATGGAATCTTCCCCGCTTTAAGTAACTTCTGAATTAAGAGACGCTCTTAAATAGCCCATTAGCATGCTTCAATATCAGAACTGTCACTCCTGTTTACGGAGATGATGAAACACCAGTCACTATGTTGAGAGGGGGGGAAAATATATTCTAAACAAGGGCTGGCTTAAATATGTGACTGGAGTTCCTGACAGCTGCCTGGTGGAAATGAATAAATGGAGATTAAATTAATAGTCAAATGAGAACTGACACCCCTGGAGGGCTTGGGAATGGATTTCCTGACATGACAGAGCAAGGAATCACTGAGGTGTGTCACATGCGGTCAAATATTTTAGGCTGATGATTGTCAATTGTTTCTCTGAGGCTAGAACAGGCCTGCACCTTTACCTCCACTGAACAGACCCGGGATTTCCTCCGGCTATCACCGGTGATGGCATTATCTTAGCAGCAAAAGAACTTCATTGGATTTGTCTGGGGCCTGGCGATCTTATTAATGCTCTGGAAAGACCACCTTTGGTCAGCAACCCCCCAGCAGACACTTTAACTCCAGTTAAAGGTTTGTTATCAAGCCTGGATATTGTAGAGAAGGACTTGAAGGGCTTTTTCAAATAAAGGAAACAGATCCTGAAATCTCACAAGAGCTGGAAAACCAAGCAAAGCCCCTTAGACTTACTGGTTCAAGGGGCTCACATCAGATGTTATCTCAGCAAGAAGATGAACTGCTATTACTGATTGTCGTGAAGCCAAATTGGACTCAGAGTGACTCCATGTGACAGAGTGAAAGTGCCACATGGGTTTTCTTAGCTGTTAACTTTATGAAAACTGCGCATCAGGTCTTTCTCTTGTGGGGCTGCTGAGGGGATTCAAATCACCAACCTTTATGTTAGCAGCTGAAGGCTGAACCAATCAATTATACAGGGACTGACAAAGTACATTTGTGACACACACACATCCCGTTCCCCTAGTAGCACACTGATATAGAGGCTAGACACAATATCAGGTATCAATTCAGTGGGATCAGAGCAGTATATATGCCTGACGCCAGCAGCTGTCATCGTGGTCACCTTTCATTGGGTGGCACCACCACTAAGGGAGTCACATGCTCCAGTCCCCTGTGTTTTATGATTGTGTGGAACTTCTGACTCATGGCTATTCACCATCTAGTTGGTGAATGACATCTGCTGTCCAAGACAATAGCAGATGATCAGGGCCACTCTGAGGTCTCTTCACAGGCCAAGGGGTTTCAGTAGCTCTGAGGTTTTGCTCAAGCTGGATCTTATTACATTTTGCTATTAAAATCCCACTAATGTGTGCCCATAAGTTGATTCTGACCCATAGAGAGCAGAGAAGAGCCCCGTAGGGGTCTAAAACTATCATCTTTATGGGACAGAGTGTCAGGGATTTTCTCTCACAAAGCTCTTGTGTGAGTTTAAGCTGTTGACCTTTTGTGCCACCAGGGCTTCTATTAAAAGCCTAACCCCTTAGCAATTTTCAAAATGACTAAACTTAACTGGCAGGGTTAAAGGTCAAATCTGTCTGCTGTCAAGACGATTCTGACTCAAAGCAACTCTGTAAAGCAAAAGAAGATTGTTCTACCGGGTTTCCAGGGTGGATAGGAGCCCTGGTGGTATAGTGTCTAGTAAAAGTTGCATTGTGAATTGAAAGGTCAGTGGTTCAAATCCGCCAGCTGCTCCCAGGAGAATGATGGGCAATCTCCTCCCATACAGATTTACAGCCTCAGAAACAGGCTGGAGGGGGTTGTTAGGACTTAATGGTAATGAGTTTGTCTTAATCCTTATGGGAGGAGATTGTCTCATCTTTCTTCTGCAGAGCAGCGGGTGGTTCAAACTCTTGAGTTAGCAGCTAAGCATACTAACTAATATTCTTTTCCTTCACGGCTACTTTTTGTAAAATCAGTATTACGGGGAATACAGTGAAAAGAGCATGAACTTCATAATAATCTAGATACGGACTGAAATTTGGAGTCTTGTTATCTTTTTATCTTGGAAACTTGTTATCTGTGTGACTGAGAAATCAATTGACTTCATGAAGGGTTGTTTGTGAAGGGTTGTGCATGAGAGTCAAATGGAATTTTAAAAGTCACCTCAACATTCAATCACAGTGATGACACATCATAAGTGCCCAGCATACGTTACGTTCTAAAGTTATTGGGTCACTTTCAGAAGCGGTTTATCTTTAAAAAAAACACCCAACAAATGAACCAAAATCAATGACAAAACACAAACAAAACCAAAAACCTGGTCTGAAACAAGTATGACAATGTGTGGAGTTTATCCTTCAATATGACTTTCCTAGTTATAGTTTAACTTTGCTATATAAACAGGCAAGAAATATGCAAATGGCACATGTTACCCTATCTACAAGGGGATTGGCTTTCTACTCATCCATGAGGGGATTGGACAGTTTCAACACTCTACAAGGCGATTGGCTAGTCTTGCCATTAAATTGAGCAATCCAGAAGCAGGAGAATTAGACCTTCCCTGCCACAGGTAAAAAGAAGCAAGAAAATGTAGGATGTAGAGAGAGAAAGACATACACACACAGAAAGAGGGTGGAAGAAGGAGTGGGAGGGGTAAGGAGAGGGAGGGGAAAGAGGGAGACGGAGAGGGGGAGAGAAGGAAGAGAGAGAGAGTGCGCGAGCATGAGCACAGACATTCTTGCTCTAGCTACAGTTAATACACAGTCATGGCAGAACTAGAGACCTGATGTGAGATGAGACTTTGGGACTGCTACTTCATTGGAACCAGAGCTAAGAGTCTTTGTCCAAGTTTGGTGGGACAAACTGGGGAGAGAGGGCATAATTTGTAAAACTGAGAACTTCGCAACACTAGTCTAAAGCTGTTAGGCTCAAGGCTGTATACACATTTCAGAAGCTGCCCTGATTGTACTGCTAAGCTGGATTATAACCTGTTGACGACCCCAACATTGTTCTGTGTGATCTGTGAGCCACTGCAACAGATTTTTTTTTTTTAATTCTTTTCTTTGGGTTTATTTACAAAGTTCTTATGCATTATGTTTCACACTATTGTTCATTTGCATTGTGTTTCATACAACCACTCCCATGCAGTATGTTTTGTAAAATTAATCACCATTGGATTATGGACAACATTACTGTCTTTTCTGGTCCTTACTGGATCTTTCCCATTTCCTTTGCCCCCTCCCTCCATTCACCAAATTGTGCAACCCTGTGATTTCATCCCTACCCTTTCTCACCACTCTACTCTCACTCCTTTCCCTCTTAGGTCCCATACATATTTTATTACTTATCCTTCTATTTTTAATAATAAATAATAGTCTTATGCAGTATTTGTCCTATGAGACTGAGTTAGTTCACTCAGCATAATGCTCTCCAATCTCTCCCAAGTTATGTAGTATTTTTATAAATTGTTGTTCCTGAGTGCTACATCATATCCCATTGTGTGAATGTACCACAATTTTTTCAATCCATTAAAAATTTTTGGTTGGACACCTGAGCTGCTTCCATGTTCTTGTGATGGTGAGTATTGTTGCTATGAACATTGGTGTACAAATTCACATCAGATTTTGAACCCACCAAAGCAGTAAGATTGGTGTTGAGATAAGTATAAAGAGGTTTGGAAACATGGGGTATGATGTCTGAACTCATGGGAATCAGTGTTGTATTATTAATGCTGTTGATGAGGACAGTTCCCCTTTATGAAGTTGGTAAAATTAGACAAGTCTGTCCCCACATGGCCCTTGTTCTTTTTACACAATGACACACCTACCTTCAGAATTCTTCTAGAATTTCAACAAAAAATTAAGTTTTACTGGGGAGGGGGGGAGAGGAAGAAACCTCTACTTAAGGAACTAGACTGAGGCCAACCATTATTTCACAGGGATGTTTTCAAGTTGCCTTTTAATAATTCATTCCCACTGAGCCTTGCACTAGAATTTGATTGGGGTCTGAGGAGCGAGGAATAGATGGACCAGTCCTGGGAGTGTTAACATTAGTGTTTATTCTTTTGTTCAACAGTATAATTCAGGCAAGAGGAACAAGACACAGGAAGCTGACACAGCCTCCTCGGCTCCTGAGATAAATCCAATCCCATCAAGAAGGTGTTATACAGCTATTTAATTAATGCAACTGAAATTAAAAGGCCATGATATGAAATAAAAGAAGAAGAAAGAGGAGGAAGAGGAGCAATAGAATAAGAAGAGGAGGAGGTGGCGGTGGCAACAGCCAGTTGTCCTACCTGGAGTAAACGTTCCTGCTCCTGCTGCCATTTCTCCTGTCGCCTGCGCTCTTCTTCAGGGTCCCATGCCCAGAATTTAAACTGCTTAGGAAAACAGAATCATGATCAGACTTACTCCATAAGCTCCAAGAAGAGGTGAGAGTATATAAACTTAATCCGTCTTGGACTCAGCTCCGAGATGAAGCGTAACTTTTTGCATATGGTAAAGACCCACATTCATTGGGTGAAGTGATTTTTCAATCTTAGTTCTTCTTTGGTTTTTCTTCCAAGATACTGGTAATATTTACTGAACCCCTTTGGAACTAACATCTTGGTGGTGCATGGAGTGATTAGCCATTGTCATGAGTCAACTTTTGTCTCATGCTCCTGAACATGTCACATTCCTTCTGCATATTGATTCTGAGTCCCCTGTGCCAAGCAAAGGGGATATTTCAGCAGAGCTGGATAGATATACAGTCTTTTGTATAGTGTGTCCAGCCCTATCTGATATTGCTTCTATGAAGCTATGATAGAAAAGAATTTGGTGTTGAATGTTGTTGGATGTTTCCTAAGAGTTGGAAGCAGTTCAAATACTCAGAATCTCTTAGGGTCTTTGATTCCTCTTCTTGTCTTTTGAGAGGAAAAGGTGTATGTGAATAAAGTGATAGGGAAACATTAGTAAAATAGTAAAAGGAAAGTCCAATAGTCAGGAAATAAGAGAAGTAAATAATAATTATGTAATTTCCAGATTTCATTAGATAGTAATCTTAAAAATAAAAGAAATCTTAGTGGTGCAATGATTAAGCACTTGGCTGTTAACTGAAAAGTTGGGGGACATGCTGCTGACCAAAGGGCATGTGGTTTGAATCCACCACCTGGTCTGGGAGAAAGATGAGAAGTCTCCTCTCATGAAATTTACAGCCTCTGAAAACCTGCTGGAGGGTCAGCTATGAGTTGGTTCCACCTTGACAGCACACAACAGCAACCATGGAGAAAAGACTTGACAATTTGCTCCTTAAAGTATTTGAGGCCAGTGAAAAGGGTCATGGCAGGAAAGGGGAAAAAGAAGAAAAAAATTTTCCACCTAGGAAACTCTTTGGGGATGTTTTCACTCTGCTATAGAGTCACCATGAATCAGAAGTGATTTACTCAATAGCACACAAGAATGATCTTGAGATTCTTAATCTTGAGAGTCAAGGGAGGAGTTGACAGATGGGGTGGAATGTGGCCCAGAGGGACAGAACATAGGAAAGAATACAAACTCTCTAAACAAAAAGCATTTTAAGAAGAAAAGCATCAGTGTGATAAATGAGGAGAGAAACAGTTGCTTCACTTCTTTGAAAATGTATTATGGGTGAAGTGAAGATACCAATTGGTTAATAAATGAACTCGGTCTTAAAGCAAAAAAAACAAACAAACAAACAAACAAACAAAAAAAAAAAAAAAAAAAAAAACGAAAAAACAAAAACAACAAAAACAACAACAACAACAACAAACCAAAATGCAAATAAACAAACAGACTCTTTCCCTCCTAAGCAACATGTCTCTGGAAACTCTATGAACTGTGATAAACAATGATAGTTATAGAAAGGCTTTAGGTCTTTTGTTCATAGGATCACTATGAGTTATGCTTGACTCGAGGACCTTCAATAACAACAACAACAACTCCAAAACCCCCCAAGACCCCCAACTGCCTTCAGATTGGAACCAACTCCTGGTCAACCCTTCACTGGGTTTTCTGAGGCTGTAAATCACACAGGAGACCACCCATCTTTCTCCTGCAGTCACTGATGGATTCGAACTGTCAGAGAAGAGCGGCCTTTGAGTTATCAGTGCAACTCCCCATGAACTATGTCACCAACTGAGTTGAGGTGAGGGATGTAAATATAAATTACCAGGAGAAGTCAATGTGATACCTATTTTGAGAGACAATGGTCACTGCTTTAAAATTGCTCCATGTTCTATATTGCTAATGTATGCTCTGCTGTGCATATTCTTACCAACAACATAAGTAAAATAAATTATACGATGAACTAAAGAAAGTCAGAATGGAGAGTACGTGGTCCACTCTGTTTTACAATTTATCTGATGCAGCTTTGGATCGTCCCAATTCTGAAATGCAGTGAAGGTCTTTTATTGTCCTTTACATCCCAAGCGTCTGTAGGTCCTCAACCAATGTCAAGTCAGTGAATCACATTGGCTCCCTCTAAATGATGCATCTCCTTCCATGCTCCCCTGATGAGTTTCCACAACCGTGGGACAGTACAAGTCTGACCCCAAAATAGCACAAGTCTATTCAGGTCAGCATGACTAAATGATTATTTTGTCTTCAAAACTTCTATTCAAATTTCTTTTGCTTTCCTCTGAAGGCTCAATTACCATTGAAAAGATATCAATTTTGGAGTATTATCAGAGAGTACACTTACGTAGGTCAGTAATGTGCATCTTCTTGCTCTATTTTCTATAAAGCAGAGATTAGGATGTAGCTCTTTGGAGCACCCTTCCTCTATACCCTGCCCAAGGGGCACAAGAACAACTAGACATTGTTGATTTATTGAAATTTTAAATGACACCAAAGATATTTACTATATTCTATGCCAGGCATGCTAGCTTTGGGTTCCTTCTGGGAGTGGTCACTCACTATGGCTAGACTCTTCTTCTTACTTGGATCCACAATTAACACCCTTAATACTAGCAGTCAGGAAATAAGGAGACACACTGAAGTGGGAAAATCTGCAGTTAGGGACCTCTTCACATTATTGAGGAGTAATGATGTCAGTGTGAGGACTAAAGTGCATGTGATTCAGGCTATAGTCTTTCTGATCATTTGCTATGCATTTGTGAGCTGGACAATGAATAAGGAGGACAAGAATTTGTGCCTTTGATCTGTGGTGTTAGAGAAGAGCTCAGAACATTCCATGGACAGTCAAGAGAATGAATAGATATGTCTTGGAGAGAGCACAGCAAGAGTGCCCTTGGCAGGCAAGAATTATGAGGTTTCACTCACATACTTCGGGCATGTTGCTAGGAGAGGCTACTCCTTGGAGAAGGACATGATGCTAGGAAGGGTGGAGGGTTGACAAAGGAGAGGAAGACACTCAACCAGGTAGACTGACATGGTGACTGCCACAGTGGTGCTCTTGTGTGTCAGGAAGCATGAGGATGGCACAGGATAGGACAGGGTTCAGATCTGTTGTTCATAGGGACGCTATCTGTTGTACTCAACTCAATGGAACCTAACAACCACAACAACATAGCTAGACTCAGCATTCCAGAAAACTTGAGATTTTCAATATTGACTTGGACTGAACCTCTGGAATGTGACGGTAGTAGCAAGGGTTGTATGACAAATGATAAGTTTTTTTTGCCATTCAGTGGAAGCATTTAAACATTCCCAAAGGGAAGAAATTTACCTAGGAATAAAAGTTGGTATTGGTTATGGTGAGACTACTGGATTAGGCCATTGGGAATGATTATTGTGTTAGGCACTTCCCTAAGGACTTCTGTTTAGCTTTTTAAATTAAGGCTTACAACAACCACAGAATGAGGGTATCTCACAGCACAGTAAAAGATGATGAGCTTCAGAAAAATAACTTGATTACTAAATCCGGATCTCTGAATCATGGTGAGGTCAATGGTACTGAACAGTGTATATGTGACTGTGTCCAGGGGACTTGAGGGCAAGGCCATGGTTGTGCCATGCCATCACCTACTGCCGTGGAGTCAAGTCCACCTCATGGTGACCCCGTGTGTGTCATAGTATAAATATGCTCCATAGGGCTTTCAGGAGTTGATTTTTTGGAAATAGATTGCCAGGCCTTTCTTATTAGGTGCCTTTGGATGGGCACAAACCCCCAACCTTGCAATTAAGAGGCAACCACATTCATTGTCTGGACTACACAGAGACTGGTTATACCAGATAGGTCTTTATATGAGACAGGAAATTCAGAGAGTGAATGAAGATGACAGATTCATCAATGGGGACATTCCGTTGAGGGAGGTCATGTCTACAGAGGGAGTTCTAATATAATTCAGCAGCAAGGAATTCCACTAGCACCGTATGTACTGATGCTTTAAATGATTTTGTTTGTTCAAAGAAGTAAAACATTGAAAAGGAAATGTAATACTATTTGGGATACTGAGAGTGAGAAAGTGAGGGTCTCCCAGTGTCTAGGCTGCATTCAATGAAGATAGTTTCCATTCAAAGTACAGGTGTTTTCAAAGCTTATTGATGTTCTCTATTTTCTTACAAACTCCTTACTTCACATTCATATATAATTATTCCATTTAGATTTTATTTTATAACTCACCTACCATTTTGTTTGGCAAAACAACAGTTCCATATAAGGATAATCCATGCCTTCACAGTTTACCTCACAATATTCTACACAATTTCTAGTTATTCTTTCACAATCCAGCTGTTTGGAACTCATCCCTGATTACATTCTCTGTAAGCAAATACAAAACCCTTGTCAACTAAAATCACAGTACACCCCTGATCTCATTCAAAAAGTTACTTACAGGTGTAGTCCCTGGTGACTTTTCACTGCTTGGAGAATCCACTGCACAAGAAGGAGGAAAGAAAATAAAAGTCAGTAAAGAAAATATAAGTAACTTCCAACAGTCTTTCTTTTTGATTCTTGTAGTGGAGTATAATTTTTATGTCAGTTTTAGACCAATTGTTTTTCCATAAGCCAAAAAAGCATGAGGAAATCATCAAGAGCAGACCCCTGAAGCAGGCTGTACCCATCACCGAGAGAAGTTATGATGGGTGTCGTGGGATTTAGCACATCAACTAGCACCAGGCTCTAGACTATAGGAAGCAAAAACCTATTCCTATTTGTTTTAATGCACTTTGCGATCTGGCTTGGTTTATCAGTTCTCTCACCATCTGCCATGGAGAAGTCCTACACAGAGAAAGCTCAGATGCCACGAAGAGGGTACAGAGAGTGACACAGTTAACAAGAGAACCGTTACCAAAAGACAAAACCAAATATGTCGCCATAGAGTTGATTCTGACTCATGGCACCAATATCAAAATCCAAGCCACTAAATACGTTGCTGTTGAGTCAAATTCCGACTCTCAGTGAGCTTACAGGACAGAGTAGCACTGTCCTCTAAGGTCTCCAAGGCTGTAAATCTTTACAGAAGTAGACTGCCACGTTTTTCTCCTGCAGAGGAGCTCTTACACAGCCAAGCACTTAACTACTGCCTTACCAGGGCTCCGAGGCAACCCCACACTTCCTGATAAATGCTTTTGATCAATTTTTTTTTAAAGGGAATATAAAGAAAGAGTTAAGTAATACCGTTTCTTTATATACTCAAAATAAAAAAAATAAGATTTTTCTCACTTTCTTTCCCATCTCCAATTTGAGCATATTTGGTGCCAATATATCAAAGAAACTAGCTCCTTGCCAACTGTGTGTCAGAAGTAAGCAGCATTGTAGTCTGAAAGCAGAAATGGAGACAAATACCAGGCATCATTGGTTGCCCCCAACATGGATTCTTTTTTCTTTTTTCTACATAAAAGAAATACAGCTACCTAGTATGCTGTTTACCTGACTGGGAGAAAAACTGGGACCGTCGCCAAGAGTTCTGAACTCTAAGCGGCACACTGGCAGCGCCAGGCGGTTCTAGATGAGATGATGGAACAGAACAAACAGAAAACCATGAAAAATGGGGTGAGGGTTGGAGAGAACTACTCTCAACTACTAAACATCTGTCTACAATCAATACAAGAACAGAGAGATAAAGTTCCAATATCTCCTTTAAATACACATGAAAACCTGCTGACATGGGCAAGTTCAAGAGCACAGTGGCCACGTGGTATTGTGTATTACCTTTGGTGTTAAGTCAAACTTTATAGGTTTACACTATGTGTTCATCAGTGGTTGCAAGAATGAACTCAGTAACGGATTCTAAGGCGGCAGAAGAGGGATAAAAGAACCATCCGGAAACTCTAGGAACCTTGATAAATGTTGATAGTTGTAGAGGGCCTTCAGGGCTTTTGTTCAGAGGGTTGCTATAAGTCATGCTTGACTCGAAGACAATCAACAACAACAATTATTATTATACATTGGTTCATTGTGAGTTAAAGACAGCATGACAATACCCACGAAAGACAATCCTGAGACTGGGATTGAAGTAAACGCTTGTAATAAATAAATTTAGAGCATTATCTTATTTAATTCTTCCAATAAAATTGTTACAATTTTACTTCTACTTTACAGGTGAGGAGGAAAGATTAGAGAGAAGGCTGTGACTTAGGTGAGAACTAGAAAAGCAAGATTTTGAGTGGCAGGTACTCTGTCCCCAGAATCTACACACACACAACTACAGCTTCTTTGAGCCAGACAAGAACACTCTAGACAGGTATATTATAAATACACTTCTATCTTGAAGAATAATTTCTAGTATGTCCCCCTGCTATTAACATGGATTTTCTCGTCATTCATCTTGATAAAGCATGAACTTGGCGCGCTGGTGGCCCAAAGGCTGCTCTTCCCTGGCAGCTCAAATCCACCAGCAACTCCCAAGGAAGAAGACAGACAACTTCCTCCCATGTGATTTACAGGCTTATAAATCCTCCGGAGGACCAATTAGGAGTTGGTTCCAACATGAAGGCAATGAGCTTGAGTTGGTTTTTAAAAATAACTCGCTTAGTTTCCCCCCCCCACATATTTTAAAGCATTAAAGTAAAAATTCCTTACAAGTGGGATGTACGTGGTTGTTGTTGATGTCTACTGTTGTTGCTCAGTGTCGTCAAGTACGATTCATAGCAACCCTATGAACAGCTCTGAACCCTGTCCTATCCTGTGTCATTCTCATAATTGCTAACACACTTGAGCCCATTGCCGGAGTCACTATGTAAATCTACCTCACTGAGAGTTTTCTTCCTTTTTGCTGACCTTGGCAGACATGATGTCCCTCTCCAAGGAACGGCCCCACCTAACAACATGCTCAAAGTATGTGGGATGAAGCTTTGTCAGCTTTGACTTGAAGGAACACTCAGGCTGCACATTCTCTAAGACAAATCTGTTTGTTCTTTTGGCAGTCCATGGGATGTTCAGTACTCTTCTCCCACACCACCGCTCAACGGCATTAATTCTCCTTCTGTTATCCTTATTCACAGTCCAGCTCTCAGATGCACAGCAAGTGACTAAAAAGATGATTGCCTGAATCCGGAACACCTTAGACATCAAACTGACATCCTTTTTCCTCAGTAATTTGGAGAGATCCCTGACTGCAGACTTTCTCAATGCAATACATCGCCTGATCTCCTGACTCCCATGAGTTGCTCTCGACTCATGGTACTCTTCTATATAATGGGAATGAAATGCTATCAGGTCTTGTACCATTTCTATGATTGGTTAAGAATCGGACTATTGTGATCTATAGAGATTTCATTGGTCAATTTTTCAGAAGAGATCACTAGACCTTTCTACCTTGTCTATCTTTGCCTGAAAAGCTCTGCAGATAAATGTTTGAATAGCATTATAGAAACCTCTTCTGTCAGAGGAGCAGTAGCTGCTCATAAGTGCGCTGGTGGGCAATCAAGCCCCACGCTACTTCAAGGAATGTGAGAATTATACCACTGAAACATCAATGCCTCTTCGTTTTTAAGAATTTAAGAACACAGGACTATTTAACTAGGATTAAAATAGCTACATAACCAATTCCCATCCCGTTGACTCTTGCTCATGGTGGTCCTACACCTGTCAGTTTTGAATTGTGTTCCATGGAGTTTTCAATGGCTGGCTCATTGCAAGTAGGTTGCCAAGTTGTCAGAAACACCAACATTTTGGTTAATGGCTTAGGTGCAACCAGCAGGGACTTCTGAAATACCTATGCCTCCTCTGCTCTACTTTAACTGCAAACTATTAGGATTGTTGTTATTGTGCTGTTGAGTTGCTTGTGACTCATAGCAACCCTATGTACAAGGGCCCTGAACTCTACTCTATCCTGAGCCAATTTCATTGTTTCTGACATACATCATTTCCTCAGTCACTGAGTAAATCTATCTCATTGAGGGTCTTCCCCTCCTGCACTGTCCCTCCACCCTTCCAAGCATGATGTCCCTCTCCAAGGACTGAGATCTCCTTGCAACATGCCCAAAGTATATCAGACAGAGCTTCAAAATCCTTGTAATAATGAGAAGGGCCATTGGTGATTAATTTTATAAAACATAAAGCATGAAAATGATTATATGAAACATGATGTGAATGAAGAATAGTGTGAAACACAATATATACAAACTTTGTAAGCAAACCAGTAATAATAATAATAACTTTTAAAAAAATCCTTGCCTCAAGGAGCAGCCTGGTTTTGTTCTCTTCAGGCCAAACCTGTTTGTTTTAAGGCATTATTAAAATCTACCTAAAATCTTAATTATAAGATTTTATTTTTGTCATTTTCCTTCAGAGCATTAGAATGGAGGAATCAGAAATAAATACACCGAAGCCATGACTGAACATAAGCCCATATTGAGAGAACTCAGCTTATTTCTCAAGCACTGGTGATGGAAGTCAATTTAGATTTTGCATGTACACAAACTCACTGCTACTGAGATAATTCCAACTGACAGCAACCATACAGAATAGAGTAGAACGTCCGCAATGGTGTTTCCCAGGCTGTAAATCTTTATGGAAGCAGATTGTCATAACTTTTCCCCATAGTACAGTGAGTGGGTTCAAACTGTCAACCTTTTAGTTAGAACTATTCCCTTAAACACTGCACCACCAGGACTTCTTGATTCTGCTAATGATGGTTCCAAATAAGTATCTATCAATAAAATAGATGTAAAGAGAAATTGATCTATGAAAACAGATGTAAAAAATTAATTTTTAAAATGGAAAAATGGTATAGATGCCACAGTGTATCTATTCTTTACCTTCTTTACTTTGCCTGATCAAATCTGCAAAATATATTGGGAAAGGACTTAACAACAACAACAATAAAGCCACCTTCAGTTCTTGCCTTCTGCAATATAGCTACTTCTATATGTAGAAAGACAGCACACAGCAGGAAAAACAAGTGATCTCTTTGAACAATAACCTCCATTAGAATACAAAATTCACAAGCCTCATTCCACAATCTGTACTCCATGGGGTTCTTTGTCATGATTTATGGAAATCTAGGAAAAGAATTGAACATCCCATGGACCATCAAAAGAACATACAGATATGTCTTGGAGAAGGTGCAGCCGGAGTGCTCTTTGGAACCAAGAATGATGAGGCTTTGTCTCACATACTTTTGGAGAGTGGGAGGGGGCCATGACGCTGAGAATGGTGGAGGGTTGGTGAATGAGAGGAAGACCCTCAACCAGGCAGATTGACATGGTGACCACTGCAATGGGCTCTTGTATGTCAGGAAGTGTGAGGATGGCACAGGATAGAAAAGGGTTCAGATTGTGTTTTTCTTAGGGTTGCTGTAAGTCATATTTGACTAAACAGCATCTAACAACAACAACAACAACAACAGGTTTCCTTCTAAGATAAAGGATTTAAATTGGGCCTTAAAGAGTAAAGGAACAGATTCACAACCTACATATGGTCCAAAAATATTTGTGGAGTTCCGGAGGGAAGTGCCATTTAAAAAACTTCCTTATCCAGGTCTTGGTCCTTTCAATTAAGTGCTATGGATGTGAGAGTTGTACAATAACTAAGGATGATAGAAGAAGAAAAGAGGCCTTTGAGTTGTGATGTTGGAGAAATGCACTGAATATCTCATGGGCTGTCAAACAAGTTTGTCTTGGAGAAAGTTGTGACCAGGGTGCTTCTTGGAAGCACATATTTTGGGCATGTTGTTAGGAGGGGTTAGTCATCGGAGAAGAACATTGTGCTTTCAAAGATGGAGGGTCAACGTAGGAGAGGAAGATCCTCAATGAGGTAGGCAAAGACAGTGACTCCAACAATGGAGCATATTGGAAATGGGTGAGAACGGCACACGATAGGGATAGTTCAGAGCTGTTGTTCATAGGGTCACTATGAGTTGCAGTTGACTTGATGACACATAACAACAACCACCACCATCACATATCAAACACTTGTGTAGGACCTATACACTTCCTCACATTATAGCAAACATTAAACTAAATCAATATATTAAAATGCATCATCAAATATGTCAAACATTAAAATACAGCCTTAATAGACTCTCTCTCTCTCTCTCTCCC